AAATAATAGCATCAAAGTAGCAGACTAGAAAAGGGTGGGGGATTGAGACATTTCACATCTGGTCATACATGGATTACTGAAAATATTTACCTATATTCTGAAACCAGGAAAATTACAATGAGGTGGGGGGAAGCATTAAAAGACAAAAGAAACATGTGAATAAGAAACAATATACCAGCAGATAAGACATCACAAATTTTTGTAATGTGGAAAAAGCACATATAAAGAGCAAGTAACTGAGAACATAACATGCAGGCTATAAAGGAACAATGTGCTACATGCCATTAGTCCCTTGACAGGTTCCAATATTCAAAGTACATTTGAAAGAGAATGCAAGAGATATATTGAAAGCAGGACCGCTTGAAAACTAGTAAAAAGGGAATATATACATCCTTTTCCCATCTATGCACAGATATAACAATAAAGAATAAATAAATTTATATATATATATATATGGATTATATGCTCAAATTTTTATAAACATCCTTGAAAATGAGGAAAAATAAATTTATGGCCATTCATAACAAGTTAGTATTTATAATTTTTAAGTCCTAAAGAGGATTTGAATATCTTGAAATAATCTCTTTTCCTCAGGTTAGGTTTGGCCAATGAAAATAACCATATAGCTAAAAAGTTGTTTTACTTTATGTTTCATTTTTGCTTATACACTCATCCTATATTCTCCTAAGGAGCATGAAAAATAGACTCTCTAAGTGTCTACTTGATTCTAGTCCTATCCATCTGGTATGTGATTTTTTTTTTAAGTTCAAAAAAAAAACTAAGTTGTTGGTTCTAGAAGAAAAAGAGAATATAATATTTTAAGCTCTAAAGGTACAAACTTCTCTAGTTCTTAAGCCATTCATAATGTATTTGAAGAACAAGATGAAAATAAAGTAATTTATCACATGAAAAGGTCAAGGTATAGCCCTTCACACAAAGGAATAATGAGGATTTTAAATGACTGGTGAAAAGATAAACAATGGTGGGTAGTTCATATCAATCCTTTATAAAATTCATTAGACAAAAGGAGGCAAAATATTCTCATAACATCATTTAAAAGTAATCACTAAGGGTTTCTATTTATAGCAACATAGTAGACACAGTGCCCTAGATGATCTTTTCAGTAAAACACAAAAGTGATGAGTATATAATTTTATTTATATATTGCATACTATGGTTGAAATTCATATAGTTTATTTTACACACTATGTCTCTTGGAAGTTCATTAATGAATCTCCCTAAAAAGGATTTTTAAGGTCAGAGACTGAGGTAAACAAAGTAAATGACTGAGCCACTTAAAGGGTGTTAAATTGAGCATCCGTATTCACAACTAACTCCGATTTAAGATAGTCCATTTGTAGTTCTGAAACTAATGGAACATAAAGCTAGTGTACAAATAGTTATAATGTTAATGATATCATAAATGAAAAAGATTGTCCTATTTTTCTGCTTTCTATATGACTACAAGAAATCTTAACTTTGAATAAAGGAAAAATTATAATCACAACCACAACTCAGCCATAATTTATAAAAGGCTGTAGCTTGAATTTTTATTATGTAGGTGTACAGAAATCTCTAACCAAGAATTTAGTTTCAAGTGATTCTGACCTTGTAATGGTTTAACATAGCAAAAGTAAATTCACACATCCACAAAAGGAATCTATCAGGTTTTTCTTCAAAAAGATCCTATAGCAAAATTTCCAGTGAAAATAACCAAGAAAATAAAAAAAAAAAACTATAAGGAAAACATAGGTAATACTAGGCACAGCAGGCAAGAGTCAGTAGATCATAACAACTTTTGCTCATGTACATATGAATAAAATAAAGTTGAAAATAGTCATAAGGAGGTTTTTCTTAAAGAATCAAAATGAAAACCCTATTTATCATAGAAAAAATTTAAATTCAATAAATAACATACTATAAAGTTCAAAGTAGAAAAACTAATTCATGGTTTTATACTTCAAAACATTATTTATGTCTGAGGAGAAAAACTGACTGGAAAAGGGCTAGAGATTACCTCAGAGCTTGGGCTATTCTTGATCTTGATTCAGGTGCTGGTACCATGTATGGGTTTACGTTATGAAAATTATTAAAGTATACACTAAGTGCTACACATTTTTCTTTCTTAAATATTAGACTTCTATAAAAGTTTATACAAAACCCATGTACAACTTTAAGAGTAGATAAAATGAGTACAAAGAAAATTAATGAACTTGAGAAAAAGATTAATGAAACTAACCAGTCAGAATGCATCCCAGCAAGTAATGGATGTGTGTGTGTGTGTGTGTGTGTGTGTGTGTGTGTGTGTAATTGTAGAACTCATAAAAAGACACCAATAGTAAAAATTTAAAACACAAACACAAATTCTTAACATGGCCAGAAGGAAGGGACAAACTGGCTTCAAGGAAATGCAAAATGACAGTGGTCACTCAAGAGGCTAATGAAAAGCAGGAGTCAGAACAATAGCATCCATGAGGATGAAAACAACTATGAACAAGAAATACATGAAGAAAAATATCTTTCAAAAAGGAAATCGAAATAAAGAGTCTCAAACAAATAAATTTAAAACTATGCTCACATCAGACCTTATATAAATGGATTCTAAAGGAAGTACCTGTAGCAAAAATTAAAATATCTGAACTAGAAAGAGGAAATGGCTGTGAAAAGAAATGAATACTATGTACCTGGCATAGGGGTCATCAAGTAATAGCCTAAGATGAAATACAATCAACCATCAGATTTTGTCAAAAAAGTTTTACTGGAACACCATCATGCTGATTCATTGAGGTATTGTTTATAGCTGCTTCTGTACCACAAATTTTGAACAGTTGCAAAAGAAACTAAAAAATGAAAAATTTATTTACCTTATGATTCTTTACTGAAAAAGTTTTCTAACCCCTGAACTAGTTTTATCTGTGTGTGTGTGTATATGTGTGAAACTAAACAACGATATTATAATATAATACTGATAACTTAATTTAACAAATTAAAAATGTATACTAGGGGGCTGGGGTTATGTCTCAGTGGTAGAGCACTCACCTAGCACATGCGAGGCCCTGGGTTCAATCCTCAGCACCACATACAAACAAATAAATAAAGATATTGTTTCCGACTAAAACATAAATATTAAAAAAAAGAAAAGAAAATCAGGGCTGGGACTGTGGCTCAGTAGAAGAGCATTTCCCTAGTGCAGCTGAAGGTACCACATAAAAATAAAGGCATTGTGTCCACCTAACTAAAAAAAACACTTAAAAAGAAAGAAAGAAAGAAAGAAAATCAGTGAGAAACTAAAAAAACTAAAAAACAAAAACAGTTAAAAAAATCAGTGAGAAACTAAAATGACAACCCACAGAAAGGGAGAAAATAACTGCAAATTATATACCTCAAAGTGGTCTAGTATCCAGACATTAAAAAAAAAAAAAAACTATTATAGCTTTAAAAAGCCAAATAACACAACTTGAAAATGGACAAAACTTGAACAGAAAAAAATACTTCAATAAAACGATATACAAATGACCAATCAGAACATAAAAAGATGATCAAAATCACTAGTCACTAGGAAGATACAAATCAAAACCATATGATACTACTTCACAGCACTTAGGATGGCTAGAACTAAAGCAACAAAACAGATAATTACAAATGGTGACAAAGATGTGGACAAATTAGAACCCTAATGTATAATCATAGTGATTGTAAAATGGTGCAGACAAGTTGGTCAACACTGGCAATTTCTCAAAAGCTTAATCATAAGAGTCACCATATTACCCAGCAATCCCCCAACTAGAAATATACCTAATTTCTGTAATAAGAATAATTCTATGACATCTGCATTATATTTTAAAAATCTGTTCCATGTCTAATGTTGTATTTTAATAAAAATCCAGGGACAGTTATTTTAATCTTACAAAAGTTGCAGAGTTTGAAAAAAATTAGGGAGCATTCCACAACTCACTTCGAAAGATAAATATAACCTTGATACTCTATACAACAGCTGTTGTAATATAGAATTCCTAAAATCCAAAAGAAAATAGAAAAGAATGAAGTATATCAAAGATATTAGAGAAAGGATCCTTCTATCAAGCCAAGGACTACACACAAAGAACTTAAAAAAAAAGTTGTCTTTAACTATTAGAATTCTATGATTTTTTTACGATAATGATATTCACATTGTAAAGGACCAACACTAATATGTAGCAGTAAATCCTTTTTATTTCTTATGAGAAAAATGGATTTTAATGAAAATTTCAGAAAGGAAAGAGAAATTAACAACAAAGTTGGAGTCAATAATTGCACAACCTGTCTACTCTTCAGTGAGATAGTACCTACAATAATTTGAATGACATCAGGATTCATATATTTACACCCTAATAATATGAACAAGGTGTTGACCCATTTAGCACTGTCAAAAATTTGAGCCTTGTTATTAAAATATAGAGTCACATTATTTACTTTGTGACTCAAAACTTTCTAAGGTTCACATTTTGTTTGAAATGAATATGTCAAAGTTCAAAAGGGTATATATTTTCAACATAAAACACTACAATGTAAAAAAAATCAAGAATGTACTGAGAAAAGAACCATGGTTCCAATCACTGCACAATCATCTACTTTGTAAATAAATGATTAAAGTTATATTATGCTTGATATAAATATTAATTTCACTACTCATGTATAATATATTCATTCATAACTCAAGAGGCTTTGATTAAGATCAACTCTTATAATTCTTAGTTCAGCAAACACACAAAAAAACCAACTTTCTTCAAGTTAAATTTAACAATTATATTATATTGCACAGGTACTTTAATAGACAATTAAATTTTATATATAAATATCTGACTATGACTAAAAGGTATTAATGTCAATAAATGACATCAGTCAAGAAAATCTTTCAACAAGAAGCCTGACTTACATATATACTGATGAAGTAAAAGAAACCTAAAAATATCAGTAAAAAAATATTAATCCTGGGAAGATTTTTTTTTTTTTAAACATACCTTCTTCCAGAATAGGTCGTGGGATAACAAATGGAATTTCCTCAAGAGGTTCCATATATTTGTGACCAGCACTGATAATCTTAATTTGAGGCAAACAGAGGACAAGTGTTCCTGGCATGCTGGTTTGTCCATGGTACCAACTTCTTACAGTTCCAGGAATATCACCAGATACAATTGTACTTGGGGAAGGCAGGCTATCATTTGGAATGAAGACACAACAAGACTGAACTTCAAGCTAGAAAAGCAAAGCAGAATTAAAATTTTGTATCAGACCAAACATTCCTTGAAAACCTGATATCGCTATCAGAATAAATAGGCAAAGCAAAAATTAAAATGCGTCCTACATGTCTCTATTGAGTTATATTTTACTCAACAAACACTTGAAAGGCTATTATTTTCATGCTACAAACTTGATCAAAAGCACCCAGTAAATGACATGAAAATAAAACTGCCCTTCTACAATTCTTTCCAAGAAACATGATTCAGTTACATAAATGTTCTGGCAAAAAAGGTGAGAAAATTCTCTTTCTCTTGCAGTTCATTATATTCTGTTAACACCAAACAGAGAGGCAAAATTAAAACGATTTCTATATGAATTGGGCCCTAATATTTTTACTTTTCTTATAGTTTATTAACTATAAGAAAAAATGTTTAAAACATTCAACTAATAGCTCTAGACAATCATTAAAGAACACAGTTATAGGGGCTGGGACTGTGGCTCAGTGGTAGAGTGCTCACCTGGCACGTGCAAGGCACTGGGTTCAATCCTCAGCACCACGTAAAATAAATAAATAAATAGATTTTTTTTTAAAAGAATACAATTATACCACGTATTTTCTATTTTCATATACACAGATTCAAGTATATATATGTATATACAGTATATCATATTTATCATATAAAGTGGATATATAAGTCTAAAGAAGACGATTTGAAAATCACTTTCTTGATTAGTTCATTCTTAAATTATTACTTCAATTGTGATTTTATATGAAATTTTTATGCTCCCTTTCCAACCCTCACAAGGCCCTTAAGACTATGCAAGCACAAATCAAAAAATGAGTTTGAGTTCCTAATTCAGAAGCAACAGATTAAAATCTATTAGTCTTAGCTCTTACAAAGCAATAGTTGCTCAAATTTTATTAAATTGCCTCACTAGCCTAGCATATTTTCATTATTTGTTAAGCAAATACAAACTATAACACTGACTTTCTAGAAACTGTTTGGCATTCAAATGTGATACTTAAATTATGATAAGAAATACTTTTGCTTGATAAATTCTTGGATACTCTAGGAAGTCTCAAAGACACTATTTTATAAACTATAACTAAAGATAGAGTAATATTTCCCTTTCTAAGGGTTAACACACTCCTTAGTGAGAATATAATTACATGTAACAGGTTTAGAATTCCTTGATATGATAAACAATTTTGCAGCCCATAAATAAGCAAACCTATTTGTGCTTACTTCACATATATGGCCAAAGATAAACTAATGAATTCAGTGAAGAAAAAGACACTTAAAATTTTTAAATGCTTTAACATACTTCATTAATGTTAAATTGTGTGGTTTAAAATGGCATACAAATTGCATATTTTCTATTAATTCTATTAATTTCTATTAAGAAGTCAAAATATTAAGTATAAAATATTCAACAATTCATATAGATACTGATGCTATGTTGAAAATGCTCTGAACAACTTGAGGTCATTGGTTTAATTTGCTATAATTTACAAACATACACATCTGTGTCTGTAGAAACAAATTTTAATTAGCCAAATTTTTCAAAACCATAAAACATTACAAATTCCACTAAATCAAAATTCAATTTTTTTTCCATCAAATTTAAACAATCTGAACTATATAAATAAAATCAATAGCATGCTGGCATGAGCTAAGCAAAGACTCTAAATGATAAACATTCTAAATACAATATATGTTGTCAGGATTCCCTTTATGATAACAATCAAAACATAGATATAATCCAAATTGTTCAAAATTATTATAAAGTTACATCTATGATATATACTGAAGTTATCATATAAATCTTTTTACACTTTTAAAATAACTGTTAAACTGTATGTCTAAATAGTAGTTTTAATGTAAAATCTTGAGTGATTTATAGTACTGAATATAAATCTGCAGCAGTAAATTTTACATTAATGTAAGGATCTGACAATCCAAGGGAAAGAAAATGAAGTAATCTGCCAGTAAGAAGTCCTCAAGCCGGGGGTCAGATCATGTTCATGGAAACCATCTGGTTGGGACCCTCTGAGCCACACCACACACAAATGATCTTTTAAAAAAATATCCTATTCATTAATGCATCACAGCTGCACTGAGTGTTACTTCATTTTTCCATGGCAACATCCTTTCTGTTTCAAGGATCTTGTTTCAGTTTTGGTAGCAACGTGCTCTTTTGCCAATATTGAACACATTCATGTGTTAAAGTGAAGGGATTATTACAAATTTTTGAAGTAGAATCACCTCTATTTTGATTCCTATTAGGTCAAGGGCTACATATCTGAAGTATCACATACTGAGGATAAAGTAATAAAGTAAAAACTATTTGGTATTTTTACTTTACTAAAAGAACTTGACTTAAAGTTTAAAGTTTATGTACCAGTTGAAAAGACCTATGTCATTGTGTTTCTCCTCCACCCTATATGTGAAGTTTGGAAACCAGCTTTTTCTTTTTTTCCCCCCTGATTTATGTGCTCTATAATTGGGTTGCAAACCAGTTTTTAAAAGCAGAGGATAAGTTTCAATTACAAACTTGTAATTTCAAATTACAAAAAGTTTTCTTTTTCTTACTTTTCTTTTTTCTTTCTTTTTTTTTTTTTTTCTGGTACTTTGAATTGAACCTAGGGTCTCATGAATATTGAGCACTCTACCACTGAGAAACATTGTGAACCAGTAATCAGAAAATCTTAATTAGTCACTGGCCATCATGAAAAAATACTTCATTTGTAAATGTTGCTTATGCTGTATCATATTTCCACCCTTGTAAATAACATTACTGTTTTCTATTCCCAAATAAGATATTGTTTTTTACCTAAAATCTGAAATTTTAGTGGCAATTATATTTTGCAAAATTTTTAGAAAATAAGATATTGTCTATATAAATGTATTTCACTTCAAGGAATAATTTCAAATGAGAAAAATAAACATCAGAGTTTGTAGTTCATTCATATTTTTCTTTTATTCAAAGATTTTTTTAATATCTACCATGAACTAGGGTGAAAGTCATGTATACAGAAACAAAAGACACATTGCAATTCTCAAAGAGATTAAAATAAGAGTTTTCAGTATTAATTTCCTTACAAAATTTCTCATTAGAAAGTAAGCTCTAGGTAGTCAAATTACTAGGCTATTTTGTTCTCTCTATAGTATTAGTAATTGTTCAGGTACCTAGCCTGTACTAAATATTCAAAAAATAATTGTTAAATAAGTGAACATGATTATTACAATCATCAGATATTAAAATAATTGCTTCATGCATGTTGTTCATAATTTCATTCTATAGAAGCAAGGTCTAATAAGGTAGTTAATAACACTGACTTGTCAGTCAGATGTGTTCAAAAACTCCAGATGCAGAACCTTTCACAAATCTCTATGACTTCCATTTCCTCATCTATAATTTCAGGATATCATGGCATTGCTATAAATATTTAATGTGATACATATCACCTAAACATTTTCAAAGTAAATATAGTCAATAAACAAACACTAAGCACCTATTATTTGTCATATCCAATATCCTGGCCTTCATGGATTTACAAAAGATGTTCGCAGTGCATTTAAAAATGCTGTTGATGGGCTGGGGTTATGGTTCAGTGGCAAAGCACTTGACTAGCACATGTGAGGCACTGGGTTCAATCCTCAGCATCACATAAAAATAAACAAACAAACAAATAAATAAAGGTATTGTGTCCATCTACTGCTAAACATACTTTTTAAAAAATGCTGTTGATCATCAATGTTTGTGGAGGCTTCCAAAATAAGCAGTATTACATTTATACTACAACAAGTGTATAAAACTAACCCAAATCATGTATCCTAGTTGAAAATATTTCAATGTATTATGAAAATATTTTGGGTAAGAAATCTAAGTATAGTCATCTTGAGGTCTACATTTTAAAATCCTCAAAATGAACCTTTGTTATCTTACTTTTCAGAGTGATTATTATAAATCAGTTTATGATAAAAAAAAATTTTTCCCATAAAAATCTGTCAAAGGAAGACACGAAAAATTTCCTACATTTCAATTCCAGACTTCCTCCTTCTAAAAATTACCACACAATGGCTGTTACTTGTTCAATGATTATAAATAAGAATGTAAGTCTCTACAAAACTGCCAGCATTAAATGTTTAAAAAACTTGCTTTTATAATTAATATGACTAATAGTTCATCTGTCTGGCCTGAAATATCTACTCCTATTTGATGCTGAAAATAATTCAGGCAAGCAACATGATTACTTCATTACTGGTCAGGCTCCAGAAGAAATTTCCTAGGAGAGAGAATTCAATTGGCCAAGCTTAACTGGTTATGGTGCTTTGCTTGAGTCACTCTGACACACGAATCAGAATAACACAAAATATGGGAAGTAGTCCCCTAAAAGAATAACAGAATTACTAGGAAGAGATCAAGGTAGATTGGAGACTACTAAACATCCAAAACAAATGAACAAATAAAAACTAAAAACCCAGAAACTGCTACAGAATAGTAAGGCAATGACATGAACTTCAATGTATACGACCAAAAAATGAAACAAACGTTTAAAAAAATAAAAACTGAGCCTGGCAAGAAGAAATAAAATATTCTTCTTTCTTTAGAATTCAAGGCCAGAACATTTTAATTTTATCAACTTCATGGCACTGCTTATTATAGGTCTGTAGAATAACTATGTAGCCTTTTGAGTTTAACAGATAGGATTTTTGCTGATGAGTAGATAGAGAATAATTGCAAAGAATGAATTAATGACAATCTATTGTTAAAAGCCATCCAAACAAAATTCACATAAAAAAGACTATCTTAAGACCACATGTATTATTATAAAATAATCCATTATAATTAAGTATGAAAGTTCCATCTTCTCTCTTAAAAACAGTTTATAGCAAATATTGCTAATATCTTTATACAAGTTTTTCGATCTTTAGTGGAAGAGAATATTCTTAGTAATTACCAACTTTGGCCCCCAAATGAACTCTGATCCCAAACACGTTCACTTGTTC